TCGGGGCTTAGGCTAAGGCCGCACGCCACGGGATGGGCTCCACGCGGGAGCTCAGACTGGGACAGCCACGTTTCTTCCTTGAGAATACTCAGTCGCGCTGTTGCGAGGGGCTTACATTTATTTCCCAGTTCGCTGAAGAGGTGCAAAGACTCTCCGTAAATCTGCCTGGCGGATGATTTGAGAATGAAACTTGATAATCCACTCGTGCTGCTTACAGAGGAAGGTGATGTGGTACATCTCAATGATATGTCCCAGTGGCACAAGTGGGCGAGCTGAAACTATTAGGTGAATAATTGCTTGAATTCCCATTTTGAAACCGCCTGGTTCCCCCGAACAATCCCCTGCGGCCAGAGGAGGGTGCCTCACTTAATGGGCCCTTACTACCTCCAATTTTGCAATTTCATAATTATTTAGCATTAAAGAACATTTCCGATTCTTGAGGGGAAAATTTAAAGTACTTAATACCAGCGCTGGCGGGGCAGACAGCTGCAGCCCCACGAGCGGGGCTGGCTCTGCAGAGGGCAGCTGGAGAACACGTGCCCTGCCCATCCCACCACCACTGCCCCAGCTGGCCCCCTTGGCATTCTGTTGGCTCAGGCAATGCTCTGCCCTGCCTGCAGGAAGATCAGCCAACGCCACAGGACCAGACTAGCCAAGGACTGGTTTTTGCTCTGGTCCTATTTCAAATTTGCCACAAGAATTGTTAAATCCAACACTATTCCTCTGTTCTTGTTCCTAATCTTCTCCTTGAACTATCGTCTGTCACTTGGTCACAATAATAAGTTTTCCTGCTCCCATCCACCTTGGGCTACACTTTGCATTTTCACCATGCCAAAAAGCCCTACATGTTTTCCCTCCCCAAGTGCCATTCAGAGGTGTTCTTTCAGCTGATCCATTTTTCAAGTACCTCCGGTTTCCCAGCGACGTGCCAGACCCTCTGGTTCCACCCAGCTGGGTCCCAGGACGACCCAGCAAGGGCGGCCCCAGAAGCCCATAGCAGCTTCCTCCCCTGACAGTCATTTGCCGAAGTCCTGGAGCGAGACTCACGTTTGAGCTGCTGCCGTAGGTACAGGCTGCTACTCGGGACGCAGGAGGATTACCCATCATCCCTACTACAAACCATATCTGTGCCGCAGAGTGAGGCGCAAAAGGACGGGCGTGTTTGCTGAGCTGCAGTGTGAACCCTGAAGTCCATCACCATCAACAAGAGCTTCAACAAAGCATGGAGCTTTGCCATCATAAAATCCCATTTCCAGATCAGCACTAAGTATTGTGTGAAAATTTTATTTTCTCTGAAGACTCTCCTATCACTCTCTTAAATACTTTGAAAATTTTTCCACTGTAAAGAACAAAGCTTTAGATAACAGCTTCTGACCAGCCACAGCAAAAATACAGTAAAAGGCCATGAAAAAGAGCTGTCATCTTTTATGCTCAACTATATTCCATTTTAATGCAACTAAAAAAGAACAGCTTAGGAAAAAGGCAGCAATAAATAAAGTCTTTTCTTATTCTTCTAATTCAGCAGTATATTAGTTGAAAGGTCATAAGACGTTAAGATTTTTAAAAGTTCAAATGTATTTCTTTCCACAAAATAAACAGTTGACTGAAAAATGTCTGAAAATTTTTAATCGAAAAGCTTCAGGAAAGAATGTCCACTTAATGTTGATGGCATTTCTCAGGAGCAGCACTTCACAGCTTTTGATCATGGGGTGCCACGGAAAGCATGGATCCAAGATGAACAGCTTCAGGGAACACTCCTCCACCAATATGGAACACCTCCACGTTTGTGTCTTCAGGAGGCACAGCTTTATTGTATAGACACAAATGTGAAAGGAGAATTCATAAAATATGGCCATTAGAAACAGTTTAATAAAGTCAAACTTCAAAACTTTGGGACAAATGTAGCTCTAGTAATGGAACCAAAAACGTGTCAAGTGGAACTAATCTGGAACGTTTCTATAAGCAGAGGATCTAATTTCACGATCACTCATGCTTGAGTAACAAGATCAAAACAAGAGTGGGAAGTGCAACATAATTATTCCCATCTCCTGGCAATTTTAAAACTTTCAGATAGTCCACCTTACTGCTCAAATGCCAAGTACTTCCCTGTGCCTGGGCTGTTACCATCAGCGGTGGTGACAAGAACTGCCCCAACAAGACACTTCACTTTTCACACTGAAGTTGATTTTTTGCAATACTGTCTTACTCCCCTGAAAAATTCTCATTCACAGGCTGAAGCAGAGAGACTAGGCAAATGATCTAGGGGACTGCAGCACTCGGCTTGCCGCAGCCTTTGTCCAGTGGCAAGGGGGGTGGCAGTCCCTCTTCCTTTCAGTTCTTTTGCACTGCGCGCCAAATGCTAGCAGCAGTGTGGGCCTGCATCCATTTAAGTCTCCATAGCTGACCATGGTTTGCCAGCCCGCTGACAATTTCACTGCTGTGTCCTGCTCACCCCTGGATATGCAGATATGCAGCCACTGTTGCTGGCAAATTCTCTTGCAAGTCCTTGAGGGCTAGCACTGGCTTTTCACTGCTGCTTGCAGACTGTCTAGTGCTTGAAGTCTCTGATGGCTGGGCGGAGTCTCTAAGCATTATTATAACCAATAATATTTATACAATGATTTTGAAAACACTTTTGGACATTTCCAGTGAGGCCCTAAAGCTGTTCAATAGCTGTCTGCCAAAAATGTGTCATAGCAAATGAATACTTGCGTAGCAGGCATTTTACACAAAGATGGCTAAACTGTTTTCGTTCAGACTTTCCAAAAATACTTTTCAGAAGAGTTCAGACTTCGAAAATGTCATTCCCAAATTAGAAGGAAATGGAAAGAGCTTTAAGAATTAAGAGTTCGAGTAATTTTAGTTAGAGGTGCTTCTAGATGTTCTACCCATCATTCATGTGTCTGTAGCTGACACCCAACACAGCACCTCCCACATTGGCTGCTCTCTCATCCTAGCCCATGAGTTCTCTGCTGGCTCATCACCCGTCCCTAGGCAGAGCTCCATACCTTCCCATTGCTAACAAAAAAGATGACTCCCCCTCCTCGCCCTCTGGTCCTGTCCTTCCTAAAGAGCCTCTATCCATCCATGGCAGCACCCCAGTCATGTGAGCTGTCTCATCCCAATGAGATCATAGCCCTGCAACTGCACACAGACCTCTAATTCCTCCTGTTTGTCGCCTGTGCTGTCAGCATTAGCGTACAGACATTTCAAAGAGGCACCCAGTTGTGCCGATTTCCCAGGAAAAGCAGCAGAGCTTCCCCTGCGATGCTGTCCCCTCGGCACCTCCTCATTTAGGTGCATATGCTTTAGGTGGGCACCCTTCAGTCCTGCATGTAACTTCTGATGTCTCTCTTGTCCACATCACCCCGCATCCCTTGCTTACCAATCTGGTCCACTATTTCCTCACTTGTCTGTCATCAGCTCTCTCCTGTCCATTCCTAGGTTAAAGTTCTCATCACCAGGTTTGCCAGCATGTTGGCAAAAATGTTTTTGCCTGATTTGGTCAGGTGGATCCCATCTCTTCCTAACAGTCCTTGACACTCAAAGAGGGTCCCATGGTCATAAAAGCTAAATGCCTGCTGTCAACACCAGCTGTGCAAACACTCACTGACCACAGGATCCATCCACGTCTTCTAAAGCCCTTTCGCCATCATAGGAGTGTTCATTTTCCAACCAAGCACAGACCCTGGCTGCTCCTCCTTTATTCACTATACCAGTAGAAGTTAGATTAACGCATTCACATAAGAATATTTTACAATACAATGTAGAACAACTTTTCCTAATGGAGTCTCATACAGCGTTCATAGAGTATTAGTACATATAAAAATGAATAGACTGATACTAGGCAGTCCATATAATATTTTCTGCTTCATTGCATACCCACTTCCATCACGCAAGGGATGTTAGGGATAATGCCATCTAGCTAAAACTCGCCAGAAATAAAAGCCTTCATTAGACAGCTTGGTATTCAAAACGTTTACAGACAGAATCCTCGTCTTTTGCTCCTGACTTTACAAGAGGTAAAAGTAAACAGCCAACTTTGAACAAACCCAAACTTCATTACATTCACAACCCAGTGTGAACTATACTCACATTCTCTGGTTAAACCCATTGCTTTGGCATGGTTTATTTGTACTGTATCTATCTCATAAATCTGTAACAGGTATAGATACACCAGTACACTTCTCAGCTTTAAATGAGATTAAAGACAGTATGTTACGTGAAAGTGAAAGTGACTCAAAATATCAGTCGGTTTTCCAGAGCTCATGTGCCCATGTGCCCTTGGCATTTCAGAATGCCTCTCACCATTCCCTTGTGACAAGGTTTCATTTCTGAACTCCCTCCCAGGCAACACCGGCCACCAACCACAGCAACGCCAACGCACCAGTAACAGCTGCAGAAAGCAAAAAATGAGAGAAAATAGCAGAGACTGCCGACCCCTAGGGCAAGGCTGGCTCCATGAGGGCCCACTGTGCAATTCTTAAACACCTTCGCTGATGTTTCAGCTTAATTGCAACCTAGCTGACAAACTATTCCACAAATATAATTCCCAGTGCAACTGGGAGCATTTATTTTCAACTAGGTGACATACCGTTTTCTCATCCCAGAAATATTTTTGAGAGAGAAAAAGGTTTATGCATTCCCAACTATGAGAAAATGTAAAAGAAATCTAGAAAAAAGTGTTTTCAAATTAACAATCTGGAGAGGGGGGAAAAAAGCTCAGCTCGAGTGAGTCATCAGGCTTTTTAAAACTTCAGAAAGTTTAAATTTTAAATCCTTTCATTAATTACCTATGAAAAATAGCTTCTATTTATTCTGCAAGAAAAAAATAAACATTTCTTCTTCTTGAAATTGTTGAAAAGTTTATATTCTTTTTAAAAAATCAAGAATTTCTCACAAAACAAAGGTTGCTGTGAACTTCCTCCTACTGGCACCTACACACTTCTCATGATCTAGCTATCATGCAACCGTGTGGTGAGCTGGATCAACTTCATGAGTCAATGAAAAAAAAATTAAAAAAAAAAAAGATTTAAAAATAATGACTGGTTTTCATAGAATCATAGAATCATAGGTTGGAAAAGACCTCTAAGATTATCAAGTCTAACCATCCGCCCAACACCACCATTCCTACTAAACCACATCCTGAAGTGCCACATCTATATGTTTTTTGAACACCTACAGGGGTGGGGACTCAACCACCTCCCTGGGCAGCCTGTTCCAATGCCTGACCACTCTTTCAGTAAATAAATTTTTCCTAATATCTTATCTAAACCTCCCCTGACACAACTTGAGGCCATTGCCTTTTGTCCTATAGCTAGTTAATTGGCAGAAGAGACCAACACCCGCCTCACTACAACCTCCTTTCAGGTAGTTGTAGAGAGCAATAAAGTCCCCCCTCAGCCTTCTCTTCTCCAGACTAAACAACCTCAGTTCCCTCAGCCACTCCTCGTAAGACTTGTTCTCTAGACCCCTCACCAGCCTCATTGCTCTGCTCTGCTCTGGACCGGCTCCAGCAACTCCATGTCTTTCTTGTAGTGAGGGGCCCAAAGCTGAACACAGTACTCGAGGTGCAGCCTCACCAGTGCCGAGTACAGGGGCACGATCACCTCCCTACTCCTGCTGGCCACAATGTTCCTGATACAAGCCAGGGTGCCGTTGGCCTTCTTGGCCACCTGGGCACACTGCTGGCTCATGTTCAGCCAGCTGCCAACAAACACCCCAAGGTCCTTTTCCGCCGGGCAGCTTTCCAGCCACTCCTCCCCAAGCCTGTAGGGTTGCATGGGGTTGTTGTGACCCAAGTGCAGGACCCGGCATTTGGCCTTGTTGAACCTCATAGAGTTGGCCTCGGCCCATCGATCCAGCCTGTCCAGATCCCTCTGCAGAGCCTTCCTACCCTCAAGCAGATCAACACTCTTGCCCAGCTTGGTGTCATCTGCAAACTTACTAAGGGTGAACTCCAGTGGATGATTTCACTGATCTGGCTCACAGTACCTATATCGGATGCAAGGGAGGTGGAGGGAACACACAACTCGGGGATGGAGGTGGAGCAAGACCATCCCTGTCAATGGCAGCCTGCATTTAAAGCAAATTAAACACAGCGT